CTTCCCCTGTATTGTATGTCGTCCTTCCCTTCACCTAAGATGATTCTTGTCTACTTTCTAGTTAGTGAATAACCCTCTCCCTCCCTCCCTACCCTCGTAACCATCAAAGAATGCTTTCTTCTGTGTTTAAACCTTCTCTTGAGTTCTTATAATAGTGGTCTTATACAATATTTGCCCTTTTGTGATTAACTAACTTCAGTCAGCATAATACCCTCCTGATTCATCCATGTTACAAGATGTTTCACAGCTTCATCATTGTTCTTTATCATTGCATAGTATTCCATTGTGTGTAAGTACCATAATTTGTTTATCCATTCATCTGTTGATGGGCACTTAGGTTGTTTCCACCTTTTTGCTATTGTGAACAGTGCTGCAATGAACATGGGTGTTCATATATCTATCCATGTGATGGTTTTTATTTCTAGGATATATTCCAAGGAGCAGGATTGCTGGATCATATGGTACTTCTAGTTCTAGGTTTTCAAGGAAGCGTCAAATCATTTTCCAAAGTGGTTGTACCATTTTACATTCCCACTAGCAGTGTATAAGTGTTCCAATCTCTCCACAACCTCTCCAACATTTATTATCTTGTGTTTTTTTGGATTAGTGCCAGCTTTGTTGGGGTGAGATGGTATTTCACTGTAGTTTTGATTCACATTTCTCTAACGGCTAATGATCTTGAGCATTTCCTCATGTATCTATTAGCCACCTGAATGTCTTCTTTGATGAAGTGTCTGTTCCTATCCTTTGCCCATTTTTTTAAATTGGGTTATTTGTCTTTTTGTTATTGAGGTGTTGCAGTATCTTGTAGATTTTAGAGATTAGATCCTGATCGGATATGTTGTAGCCAAAACTTTTTTCCCAGTCTGTAGGTTCTCTTTTTACTCTTTTGGTGAAGTCTTTTGATGAGCATAAGTGTTTGATTTTTAGGGGCTCCCAGTTATCTAGTTTCTGATGTTTATACATTGTTAGTTTGGTTTGTATACTATTTATGCCATGTATTAGGGCTGCTAGCATTGTTCCTATTTTTTCTTCCATGATCTTTGTCGTTTTAGATTTTATTTAGGTCTTTGTTCCATTTTGAGCTAGTTGTTGTACATGGTGTGAGGTATGGGTCTTGTTTCATTTTTTGCAGATGGATATCCAGTTATGCCAGCACCATTTGTTAAAGAGACTATCTTGTCCCCTATTAATGGACTTTCAGCCTTTGTCAAATATCAACTGCTCCTAGGTAGATGAATTTAAGTCTAGGTTCTCAATTCTGTTCCATTGGTCTATGTATCTGTTGTTGTACCACTACCAGGCTGTTTTGACTATCATGGTGGTATAATGGATTCTAAAATCAGGTAGTGTGAGGCCTCCCGCTTTGTTCTTCTTCTTTAGTAATGCCTTACTTATCCAGGGCCTCTTCCTTTTCCATATGAAGTTGGTGATTTGTTTCTCCATCTCGTTAAAAAATGCCTTTGGAATTTGAATCAGGATTGCATTGTATCTGTAGATAGCTTTGGGTAGAATTGACATTTTCACAATGTTGAGTATTCCTAACCATGAACATGGTATGTTTTACCACTTATGTAGGTCTCTTTTGGTTTCTTGCAGTATTTGTATAGGTCTTTACATCTCTGGTTAGGTTTATTCCTAAGTATTTTATCTTCTTAGGGGCTATTGTAAACGGTATTGATTTGGTGATTTCCTTTTTGAAGTTCTCCTTGTTGGTGTAGAGGAATTCAACTGATTTTTGTATGTTTATCTTGTATCCTGATACTTTGCTGAACTCTTCTGTTAGTTCCAGTAGTTTTCCTGTGGATTCTTTGGGGTTTTCTGTGTATAAGATCAAATCATCTGCAAATAGGGATACTTTTACTTCTTCTTTACCAATTTGGGCACGTTTTATTTCTTTTTTCTAGCCTAATTGCTTTGGCTAGGACCTCCAGCACAATGTTGAATAAGAGTAGTGACAGAGGGCATCCTTGTCTGGTTCCCGTTCTCAAGGGGAGTGCTTTCAAACTCTCTCTGTTTAGGATGATGTTGGCTCTTGGCTTTTTGTAAATGCCCTTTATTATGTCAAGGAATTTCCCTTCTATTCCTATTTTGTTGAGAGTTTTTATTATGAATGGTGTTGGACTTTGTCAAATGCCTTTTCTGCATCAATTGATAAGATCATGTGTTTCTTACCTTTTTTTTAATTTATATGATGGATTACATTGATTATTTGTCTAATGTTGAACCATCCCTGTATACCTGGTATGAATCCCATTTGGTCATGATGAATTATTTTTTGATATGTTGTTGAATTCTATGGCCTAGAATTTTGTTGAGGATTTTTGCATCTATGTTCATGAGGGATATTGGTCTGTAATTTTCCTTTTTTTTTTTTTTGTGATGTCTTTACCTGGCTTTGGTATCAGGGTTATGCTGACTTCATAGAATGAGTTTGGGAGTATTCTGTCCTTTTCTATATTCTGAAATACCTTTAGTAGTACTGGTGTTAACTCTTCTCTGAAAGTTTGGTAGAATTCTCCAGTGAGGCTATCAGGGTCAGGGCTTTTTTTTGTTGGGAGTTTTTTTAATTACCTCTTCTATTTCTTCTTTTGTTACAGGTTTATTTAGTTTTTCTACCTCAGTTTGTGTTAGTTTAGGTAGGTAGTGTGTTTCTAGAAATTTGTCCATTTCCTCTAGGTTTTCAAATTTTTAGAGTACAGTTTTTCATAGTGTTCTGTTATGATCCTTTTTATTTCAGTTGGGTCTTGTCTTAGTCTTCTAGTCCTGCTGTAACAGAAATACCACAAGTGGATAGCTTCAACAAAGAGAAATTTATTCTCTCACAGTCTAGTGGGCTAGAAGTCCAAATTCAGGGCGTCAGCTCCAGGGGAAGGCTTTCTGTGTCGGATCTGGAGGAAAGTTCTTGTCATCAATCTTCCCCTGGACTAGGAGCTTCTCTGCACTGGAACCCTGGGTCCAAAGGATTCGGTCTGCTCCTGGCACTGCTTTCTTGGTGGCATGAGGTCCCCACTCTCTTCTTGCTTCCCTTTCCTTTTATCTCTTGTAAGATAAAAGGTGGTGCAGGCCACACTCCAGGGAAACTCCTTTTACATTGGATCAGGGATGTGACCTTATTAAGGGTATTACAATCTCACCCTAATCCTCTTTAACATAAAATTATAATCACAAAATGGAGGACAACCACACAATACTGGGAATCATGGCCTGACCAAGTTGACACATATTTTTGGGGGCCAGAATTCAATCCATGACAAGTGTGTTGTGATATTGCCCATCTCATTTCTTGCTTGGGTTATTTGCTTTCTCTCCTGTTTTTCTGTTGTCAGTTTGGCCAGTGGTTTATTGATTTTGTTGAACTTTCCAAAGAACCAGCTTTTGGTCTTGTTGACTCTTTCTATTGTTTTTCTATTCTCTGTTTCATTTATTTCTGCTCTAATCTTTATTATTTCCTTTCTTCTGGTGCCCAAGGGCTTCTTTTGCTGTTCTCTTTCCATTTGTTCGAGTGGTAGAGTTAATGTTTTGATTTTGGCTCTTTCTTCTTTTTGGATGTGTGCATTTATTGCTGTAAATTGACCTCTGAGCACGGCTTATGCTGTGTCCCAAAGGTTATGGTAAGATGTGTTTTTATTCTCATTTGATTCTATGAATTTCTTTATTCCATCCTTGATTTCTTCTATAACCCAGTGGTTTTTGAGGAAGGCATTTTTCATTTTCCATGTATTTGATTTTTTTCCTGTTATTGATTTCTACTTTTATCATACATTTTTCAATGGCTGTTTTTTTAGAAGTAGATCACCAGGACTTTTTTACGAGGTACCTCTGGGTGGACTCAAACCTTCAACCTTCTGGTTAGCAATCGAGCCCATTAACCATTTGCACCACCCAGAACGAAGAAGAGGAAGACCCTCAATGAGATGGATTGACACAGTGGCTGCAACCATGGGCTCTAGCTTAACAACGATTGTGGAGATGGCGTAGGACCAGGCAGTGCTTCATTCTGTTGTTCGTAGGGTCGCTATGAATCGAAACCAAGTCAAAGGCACCTAACGACAACAACAACCACCCAGAGATTCAAGGGAGCTCAAGACAAAACAAAACAAACTGGTGCCATAGAGTTGATTCCGACTCATAGTGACCCTATAGGACAGAGTAGAACTGCCCCCATAGGATTTCCAAGGCTGTAATCGTTAAGGAAGCGGAATGCCACATCTTTCTCCTGAAGAGGGGCTGGTGAGTTCAAACCACCAACCTTTCAGTTAGCAGCTGAGTGCTTAACCACTGCACCACTAGGGCTCCTTAAGGGAACTGCAGGCCCCATTTTATCCTGGAAAACATGCTCACCTGGATAGTGAATGCCTATACATCCTTCAAAGGCCAGCTGAAATATCCCCTTCTCCAAGAAGACTCCTCTGACCCTCCAAGAAGCAGAATTCTTGTTCCCCCCTGGCTCCTCCAGCCCCTATCCTTCCCCCATGGGACTGGGGGTATCTGTGCTGGGCTCTGTCACTCCCTCTCTGCATAGCATGAAAGCCTCTAGATGTGGGGCCTGGAGGTCCCCTGGGGCTCCAGCTCCCAGCACAGAGACAGACTGGTAGGAAGGGTTTGATGAATAAATCCATAGCCAAAAGCAGGTGAGAGGCCAGGCCCAGATATCCAGCGGCTCTCCTCTCTGGGCCTCAGTATCCTTGTACCACAAAACGGGTACAACACGGAAAGGCCCCTGTTCACAAGGTGGCCCTGACCCTGAGGGATGCCAGGGCAGAGGGCAGGTGTTTTCATGATGGAGGAGGCTACGCTCCGGGGTTACTCACCCCAGGACTTGCTGGCCCCTGGGATTGAAAGTCTTAGGAAATGGTATTGAGAAATTTGGGGCAGCCCCAGGGAGGGAGAGGAGGGTGGGGAGGAGGCGGGCTACAGATAAGAGGTGGCTTCCAGCTGCCCCTTCTCACTCCTCCCTGTCCTCTCCCTCCATTCCTCTGCCCCTCCACTGTCCCTGCACCATGGGACCTGCTTCGGGCCCCAGCCTGCTGCTGCTGCTGCTGACCAGCCTCCCCCTGGCCCTGGGGGACCCCATGTGAGTCATCACAACCCCCCATCAAGGCTGCTTCTGGGATGGGAGTGGGCATTTGTGCGCACAGGTCCCTGCAGAATCCAGGGTGTACTGGGGTGTTTGGAGAGTCGGGTTAGGAGCTGCTGTAAATTTGGGCTGCCTGTTGTTTTGGCTGTTTATGGGGTGTGTGTTTGTGGAATGCTCTGCTTGGGGTTTGGATGTTTATAGTATCAGGGATCTCTAGGTGTAGGAGTTATGGGCTTTGAGTATATGTGGGGTTTAGGTGATTATGTGGTTGGGATGATTTGAGGTTTGTAGGTTTGGACCTTACAGGATTTAGAGTTTGTGCTTTGGGGGTTTATGGGTTTCCGTGTTTGCAGGTTTCAGGGTTCGGTGGTATGGGTTCATGATGCCTTTGGGTTTATGTGTGGATTTGGATATTTATAGAATTGGGGTGTTAGAGGTTTAGGTTTGGGGTGCTCTAGGACTTGGAGTTTAGAGGTTTGGGTGGGTTTACAGTTACGTGGGTTTGGTTGTCTGTAGCTTGGTGTGTCTGAGGATTTAAGCGTTTATATCTGGGGGTGTTTAGAGATTTAGGGAAGCCCCTAGGTGGTGCAAATGGTTAACAGGCTCGGCTGCTAACTGAGAGGTTGGAAGTTCAAGACCACCCAGAGGCACCTCAGACGAAAGCCCTGGTGATCTACTTCTGAAAAACCAGCCATTAAAAACCCTGTGGAGCACAGTTCTATTCCAACACACATGGTCTCCATGAGTAAGAGTCGACACCACGGCATAGAGATTTAGGGGTTTAGAGCTTTGGGTGTTTGTGAGTTTGGAAGTCTAGAGGCTTTGGGGAGTTTCTGGTTCTGGTTTGGGATTCTGGGGTTGGTCGAGTCCACAGCCCCTGGCCTGTTGGCCCGTCTAGGTTTCACAGGTCTGGGTGGGGTGAGGAAGGGGGTCAAGGTGGCTGCCCTCCCTGCTCCTGTGGGGGAGGTTGCGACTGCTCCCAGAGAGCAACGCGGATCTAGATGTAGCCTTGGCAGCGCCCCAGGGCGCTCATTGGATGCTCTCCAGGGACCAGCAGCTGGGGCAGAGTGTCTGGGGTCAGAGGCTGGGATGACAGCACCGCCCCCACGCCTCCTCCGGCAGGTACTCCATGATCACCCCCAACGTCCTGAGGCTGGAAAATGAGGAGACTGTGGTGCTGGAGGCCCACGATGTGCAAGAGGACATTCGCGTTACCGTCAGCGTCCACGACTTCCCTGGCAAGAAGCAAGTGCTGTTCAGCGAGGACACCCAGCTGACTGCCGCTAACAGCCACCTAAGCGCCCTCCCCATTAAGGTGGAGACAGACTGTCGCTGGCACCCACAGCCCTTCCGCGAGCACTCCTCTTCCCCAAGCCCTACCGTCTCTGAGCCCCTCCCCCTCTCTGAGTCCCCGCCCAACTCTGAGCTCCTCCCCCTCTGAGTCCCTGCCCATCTCTGAACCCCTCCCCCTCTTGAGCCCCTCCCATCTCTGAGCCCCTCCCCCTCTCTGAGTCCCCGCCCAACTCTGAGCTCCTCCCCCTCTGAGTCCCTGCCCATCTCTGAACCCCTCCCCCTCTTGAGCCCCTCCCATCTCTGAGCCCCTCCCCCTCTCTGAGTCCCCGCCCGCCCGTCTCTGAACTCCTCCCCCTCTCGATTCTCCTCACCTCCCTGGGTCCCCTGTCTTCTCGGAGCGCATGGACCATGGGTACGGGCTCTGAAGCTGACCCCTAACGAGTCCTCCCCCTGTTCCTAGATCCCAGCCAACAAGGATCTAAGGTCCGACAGGAAGAATAAGTTCGTGGTCGTCCAGGCGGCCTTCAGGGACGTCGTGGTGGAGAACGTGGTGCTTGTCAGCCTGCAGAGTGGCTACCTCTTCATCCAGACCGACAAGACCATCTACACCCCGGGCACCACAGGTGAGGGGGGGCTTGGCTGGGTGTGGCGGCGGCGGGGGTGTGCGGAGGGGCGGGACCTCACAGGGACTCCTTTCTCTACCCACCCCCCGCAGTCCTCTACCGCATCTACTCTGTGAACCACGAACTGCTGCCTGTGGGCCGGACGGTGGTCACCACCATCGAGGTATCAGCCAGCCGGGGCTCCGAGACTTGGGGGCCAGAGACTCTGGGAGAGATAAAGAGATGGAGACAGGCAGAGGAAGAGACACCGGTGTGGAACGGTGCTTATGGATTCTGTGTGATTCTGGGCAGGTTACTTCACCTTCCTGAGCCTCAGTTTCCACATCTTGAAGATGGGACAATGACAGATAATTCTATATAGTCTGTTCCCCCCGCAGCAGCCAGAGGGCGTCCGTGAGCACCTGAGTCAGGGCCTGCCCCTCCTCTGCTCACAGCCCTCCTGGGCTCCCACCTCCCTCCAGTAAAAGCGCAAGTCCTCCCCGCAGCCCACAGGGCCCTGCACGACTTGCCCCGTCCCCTCCCTGCCCTCCCCTCCTCCTCTCTCCCCCTCACCCACCCCTCCAGCCAGACCAGGAAAGCAGGAACGGAAGAAGGGAGGAGCTGTTTCCTCCTCACGACATTTAGAGATCATGCAAGGGTCAGAGGGATCAAGCAAGTAATATATTTGAAGGTCCCTGGGTGGTGCAAACGGCTTGCATTCCGCTAGTAACCTAAAGGAGACCTGGTGGCGTAGTGGTTAAGAGCTCAGCTGCTAACTATAAACGGTCGGCGGTTCAAATCTACCAGCCGCTCCTTGGAAACTCTATGGGGCAGTTCTATTCTGTCCTACAGGGTCACTATGAGTTGGAACCGATTTGAAGACACTTAATAACAAGAACAACTAACCTAAAGGTCGGCAGTTCGAACCCATCCAGCTGCACCACGGAAAAAAGTTCTGGTGATCTGGTTCCATAAAGATTGCAGACAAGAAAACCCTACAGAGCAGTTCTACTTTGTAACGAATGGGGTTGCCATGAGTTGGAATCAATTCCATGGCAATGGGTTTAGGGGTCTGTAGGAAACACAGAGCATACACCCCCTCTAAGACACAGCCGATGGTCAATTCCAATCAAGTGTCACCTTGTAGGAACACTCATTATCCACAGAACTTCCCAGTTTCCCAGAGAAGCCAGAGCACCAGATTTTTAAGTGATGTCTCCTGATCTTTAACCATTTGCTACTAATGAACCAATGTGTGTATCAGATTGAACCACACAGAGAATAAATGACAGTTATTATCCAGTCACTGATAATAATGAGCTTATGTTTATATTAACTATGTCCCAAGACAACGAGGCAGGTGCTATTATTATCTCCATTTTATGGATATGTAAATTCAGCTCGGAGAGGTTAAGGAATTTGCCCAAGGTCACACAGCTTGCGAGGGGAAGAGTGAGAATTTGAACGCAGGTTCACGCTCTTAAACGCTGCCCATGTAGACGTGGTGCAGAGAGGGCATCCAGACACAGAGGGGTGGGGGGAGCCGAGGGGCTGAGCCTGGCCTCTGACACCCTTCACGCGTCTGCCCGCAGACCCCCGATGGCGTTCCCATCAAGAGAGACTCCTTGTCTTCTCACAACCAGTTTGGTATCTTGTCCTTGTCTTGGAACATCCCAGAGCTGGTCAAGTATGTCAGGCCCTTCGGTAGGAGGGTTGGGGCCCCCCTATTCCCGGAGCGGGAGTGGAGGGTTGCGAGGCTGGGCCAGGCCACTCACTCGGCCCTCCTCGCCTCCCCCCAGCATGGGGCAGTGGAAGATCCGAGCCCACTACGAAGATTCCCCGCAGCAGCTCTTCTCCGCGGAGTTTGAGGTGAAGGAGTATGGTAAGAGGGAGAGAGAGCCGGATGCGGGCCCCCACCCCGTAACGCCGGCCCCCGCTCGCCACACCAACGTCCTCTCTCCCCCCAGTGCTGCCTAGCTTTGAGGTCCAAGTGGAGCCGACAGAGAAGTTCTACTACATCTATGATCCCAGGGGCCTGGAGGTCACCATCACGGCCAGGTGAGGGGAGGGGGGAGGGGCCGGGGAGCGGGCGGGGGCAAGGCCAGGCTGGGGGTTCTGAGTCCTCGGCCCCAGCGAGCGGACGTGGGGCTAGACTGGCTTTCCAGAAGTGGGGCACTGAGACCTCCCTTCACAGGTTCTTATACGGGAAGAACGTGGATGGGATGGCCTTCGTGATCTTCGGTGTGCAGGACGGCGACCAGAGGATTTCGCTGACCCAGTCCCTCAGCCGCGTCGTGGTACCGAGCAGAGGCCCCTCTGAGCCCCTCCTCTTCTGAGCCCCTCCCTCTCTGAGCCCCTCCCCTTCTGAGCCCCGCCTCCTCTGAGGCCCTCCCCCTCTGAGCCCCT